CGACTTCAATCATTCGGATGGTAGAGATCTCCGTCTAGGATTAGGCCAGATGATAATTCAACGGAACATGTTTCGATTTCTCATACCTAAGTGATGAAGATATCTCACTAAATAGTAAACAAGATTTTTTGCAACTACGAAGTCTACGGCAAATAGATAATTGCCTAACAACCACCAACTAGACACTGACGATCTGTTCAGATCGTTAACTTCGTCCATGGCCAACCAACTCATCAAGTCGCAAGACAAGAGACCTCGAAACTATCGTCTATGTTAGATATAACAGACGAGCGAAAGGGAAAACGAAAACCCGTTACACTCCGTTGCTTACTGGATACAGAAGCATCCGGAACTTTAATACTCAAACTCATGCTTAAGAGTTACTCATGAAGAAATCATGGGGGCGTCCAAACATTACGGACTGCTTCTATGAAGGATTGAAACCCGCACGAAGTGTAAGAGCACACTCGTGATCCTGAGTTCCACGATGATAGAATATCGAATGGAATTTACACGTCACCAAGAACTTGGGGGCGCAAGACGTGATCATAGGTCAAGACACTCTCTGCTACCTAAGAATCAAGTTTGATTTCACTACCATGTCATTGGGGTGGAACAACGCATTTTCCCGGCGAAAGATGGCAAGACCAATAGAAAGGAGAACTTCTCCATTTCCGATCCTGCAGCTGTCAGCGACAATGCAGATAGTCTCAAGAAGATTCTTGATACGACATATGAGCAAATAGACTTAAGGCAGATTGCCAGAGTCGAAACCCGTTAAATAAGGAAGAGCAAGAACTGCCTCAGCCTTTCCAACCAAGTGCTTCGACCCAGTCGAGGATACTTTGGTAGAGTTCGAATGGACACTACGAGTTAGAACTTCGTCCCGACGCTAAATCCTATTACACTAGGGCTCACCCTACTCCACGAGTCCATACCAACACTCTTAAGAAGGAGGTTGAACGTCTCTGCGAGAGCAGGAGTACTCAAGAAGGTGAATCGTTCCAAGTGGCGGCACCACTTTTATCATTCCCAAGAAAGAAGGATCTGTACATTCATCTCTGATTTCGGGAACCGAACAACGGATCAAGCGGAAGCCTTATCCTATCCCAAAATAACAGGACTGCTCTTGAACCTAGATGGATTCAAAGTGCGCTATAGTCTAGACCTGAACACGGGACACTACCACATCGAGCTGTCACCTCACTCGAAACAACACTATACCATTGCACTCCGAAGGGAAAGCACCGGTACCAGAGGTTGCCAATGGGCCTATGCAATAGTCCCGACATCTTCCAAAGGAAGAATGAAAACATGCATGCATGACTTAGAAAATGTCCGTGCATACATTGAAGATCAACTCATCCTAACGGACGTCGATCTAGCGGATCGCGTTGAATAGTATGATGACCTTTCCAAAGATTCAAGAAGTCGGGATTGAAATCAACACTACCAAGCCTTCCTCGAAAGGAAGAACTGGAGTTCTAGACAATTGGACTCTCGAGAAGGGAGCCAACCCTTAACTAAAAAGATATAGATGCGATCCAGCTACGCTCTTCTACTGTACCAACAGGAAGGAAGTCGTAGATTCATTGGACAATGAACTACCAAGGGCTGCTCCAAGACAGCAGACGGAGTAACCATCGTTCTGAACAGACGTGGGTTACCCAGTTACCATGACCGGTTGTCATGGACAGAGAACGTGAGTCCCGCGCAGAGGTCGAGAAGACTCTCCGGGATGAATATGGACTTCGTCGCAAGTTCACGCGCATCAATCGTGACAAACTCACTACATCCGTTTCAAAGCAAACCGGAAATACATTAAGGAACGTCGCCAACGACTTATCCAGAAAAACACCGATAAGGAGAACACGGCACGGGTCCCTCATCAACACCATGTCAACGATACTATGATGATTCATCAGTATCAAACCGTTAGTACGGTCAGCCAACGCACAAGGTCCTACCACACAGAGAGTCAATAACAATGGCACGTACGGCTCCGACATCTACGCCAGTAGCGGCACAGTCTACAGACTTGAACATAAGGTATTTACACCCATACAAGGCCTGATCCCCTTGTAGGATTGCCATCGTGCGACGCACATGTCTACATCCAATCTCCGGAGAGTGCCCCGCACTTTAATCATATGTTCTCCTTGTCCGACTGATGTCGCGCCTTCCGTGACCTTGTCAGGGGGCGAATGCAATACACGGTCTTAGCCTTATTCGCGACTCGATCCTAGATAGGGTTTGAGTTCGACTCATGACTGATCTTCTCGTGAATAGTCATTGAGACAGGTTCTCAATGACCGCTCTAGTATACTAGGTTGATGATGAAACATCGCTCTAGAGATTTAGCCAGCGTGGAGTACTTCCACGCTACATAAATCTAGACGAATCTTCCACGCGTTCGTTTGGATCGTGGAGTGAGTAGGATGCTACCGCAACCTACTCTATACACTAAGTCTCCCGCGGAGTTCAGATCTATGATCCTTGGTTGTGGATCTCTCTCGTTGATTAGTTTTCATAGCTTTCTAATCCTCTCATAACTTTCATTCTCTCAAACTCAAAACACTCGAAAGATCTTTACACTAGCTTTTAGCGTAGTGCACCGTTGCTAGTTCTACTAAGGCAAAGCTTCAATCAATTCAGCTAGATTAAAAGAAAATTATGGGCCATTTTCATCATGGTCATCCTCACCAATGGTGAGGATCTAGTCCCTAGTCATCAATCTTGTCTGTGATTCCACAGACTGGCTCATTCCCAACACACTCCTGCGCATCCAGAGCGACTTGTAGCTTGGAGGCGTCCTCGTTCTTCATGTTGAGTATCCAGGTACGGTGCTGTCGGAACTTTCCACCCTGCAGAGGTTTGGTGAAGAAATCCCCTCGCATCTCGTCAGTGGGACAGTATTCCACAGTTAGCTCGCCATCCATTATCCGGTCGGTTACAAAGTAGTACCTGACGTTGATGTGGCGCGTCCTTCGTCCACTTGATGCACGACCGTTCTTCGCCAACAGCATGGTGCTCTGGTTGTCTTGGTACACGATGTTGTCCTCGACAGTGTATCCTTGAGCTTGTAAAAGTAGCGTGTCCACAGGACCATCGGCATGGCATCATCAACTCCTACCAGCTCAGCCTCTGTAGAGCTCTTGGTGTTGAGCTTCTGTCGTGTGGACGAGGAATAGATACTACCTCCTCCCATCGACATAGTCCATCCCGTCTGACTCCTCATGTCCTGGTGCACAGCATACGACGCGTCCACCCACCACTTGATCACTCTCAGGTCATCCGCCTCGAGAGTTAAATACAAATGTGGGTTGTCTCGCAAGTACTTGATGACCCTTGTCAGCTTCTTGTAATCGTCAACGTCCGGACCCTTCACTCGCGTTGTCAGGAATGCCACTGCTTGCTGTAGATCTGGCCTTGCCCTCTTCGACACGAATAAGAGCTTGGCAGTGATGGAGTGAAAATACTCTGCATCTGTCGTGTTCAGTTTCACTGCTGATTCGTCGACGTCGAACAGGTGTTCTGCTGCAGGTGTAGCTGCCACTCCTTTCATATCCTCCCTTGCATCCTCGAGGATTCCATCGGCATATTGGTCCATTCGGATCATGACCTTGCCGTCAACACTGTAGTCAATTGTCATTCCAAGATAGTCGTGTACCTTTCCACGTGTCACTGTGAGTGGTGCTTCCTTTCCGTAGCGTTGGTTGAGTGACTTCAGGATCCTGTCCACGACCCTTGGGTCCACGTGCGATATCTTTAGGTCGTCGACATGCCACAGGATGGTACATTGCTTCCCATCTATCATAGCATTCGCGACGCAGTTATCATAGGGATTTCTTGTGAATCCTTCAGCCTCGAGGAAACTCACGAGATCCTTCCAGAACAAAAGTGCTGCCTGGAGAGTCCCATACAGCGCCTTTAGCAACTTCACGTATATCACGGGCTTCCCTTTTTCGTACACGATGTACTTGTCGTACAGCTTGTTGTCTACCTTGGCGAGTAGTAGTGCCAGGGGACCAGTGAATCGCACGTGCACGTGCTCGTCCATGTCGGCCTGCATGAATGCACCAGGTATGTCCGCGGTCGCGACGTCTCTGCCTTCCTTTGCATCGATGACGCATGATAGGAACAGTGACTCGGTCATCACGGTTGGTGCACTAGTCTCATCCTTGGTCTTGTACACTCGTTGCTTCCTGCCGTCTGCACATCCGCGGCCTTTGATCTTTCCACTGCGTTTCTTCTTTAGGAACATGGGGTACTCCAGAGATTTGCGTCTCTCTTCTGTTGTCAGCATTGCCGCCTTCACGGGCTGTCCCACCTTTCGATCATGGAGCTGCTTCATTTCGTCAACGACTGCCTCTGCTCCGGCTTCACCGAAAACCTTAAGACCTTTGTTGATGGAGTACTGGGTCATAGCCACGTGTTCCAGGAGGAATTGCGTCATCAGACTCTCTGATGGTGTCCCGGGTTCGGCCATGTATTGTGCCATAAGATGGTCGCTTGGCTGCTGCAAGTGGAGATGCCTGTCGTAGCTTCGTTGCTTCCTCTGTCTGAGGCCTGTTCTGGTCCTTGTCCCGTAGGTCTCGTCCATACGGTCAGGCTCCACTCCTGTGATTCGCCCGGAGCTACTGTCCCTGCGGCGTGTCGTTGTTGTTGTTGTTGTTGTTGTTGTTGTTGTTGTGGTTGTTGTTGTTGTTGTTGTTGTTGTTGTTGTTGTTTTGTTGTTGTTGTTGTTGTTGTTGTTGTTGTTGTTGTGTGGTTGTTGGTTGTTGTTGTTGTTGTTGTTTTGGTTGTTGTTGTTGTTGTGTGTGTTGTGTTGGTTGTTGTTGTGTTGTTGTTGTTGTTGTTTGTTGTTGTTGTTGTTTGTTGTTGTTGTTGGTTGTTGTTTTGTTTTGTTCGTTTCTGTTGTTGTTGTTGTTTGTTGTTGTTTGTTGTTGTTGTTTGTTGTTGTTTGTTTGTTGTTTGTTTAGGTATGTTGTTGATTTTCGTCAGCTTGTGTCATCTTCGTCGGCTGTGTCTTCATCACGCTGAGATGCCTCATCTTCCGCTCCCTGCGGTTCGTCATCCGTGTTGTCGTCTGGCTCATTATCGGCATCATTTTGGTTGATTGGTGTGTCCTCTTCCTCGAGGCTGTCCTCATCACCAGTTTCCTCAGAGTCCACGTGCTCATCGTCCGCGTCTCCGCCGTACGTTTCCTCCTCGTGTATGGTTTCAAGCTCCTCGTTCTCTTGATCGCTTCCGTCTTCGTGGCTGCTATCGTCCCGTCCTGACGTTGAGCTACTCTCCTCGCTGTCACCGCTGCTTCCGTCTTGATCCGTGTTCAGTGCTGCCAGCTCCTCAGGATTGATTTCCTGGCCTATCTCGACTGGAATGTCGTCGTCTTCCTGATGTTCCACGTCTTGGCCCTCGTCAGACGGGGCATAGTCTGGATCGGCCATCTCGTCATCATCATCTCCGTCTGTGATTTCGGTCACATCACGCCAACCGAATGTCAGACCTGCAGGAGACTTCTCCTTTTGGGCCAGTGCGTGAACCCTTTCTATCACGTCGGTAGGCATCGGTAGTTCCGTCCATCGCTTCCTGTGTATACGGTGGCCCGTGACTAGGCTGGGGAAATAGTAGCTCCCTTGTGATCCATTTGACGGCCTAAGTGCGATTGCTCCGATGGTCCTTGGTTTCATGCTGTTGTCATGTTCCTCGTGGGTTTGGACGTATGCTCCGCACTCCAGTCGGCAGTGTGTCTTGTAGTCGATGTGTGTCCCCGTCACTAGTGTCCTCGGGCTGATTGTTGCCGATGCACTATTCTGTGGTGGGAACATATTCAACCACATCATCACGTTGGTTACCATCTCAACGATGAATCGGCTTGTCAGTTGCTTGAATGGCATGACGTTCCACATTGCACGGACGCGTTCCTTTATCGTTCGAATGAACCGCTCTATCTCAGGGACGTGTTCGTTCTCTGCCACCACCTGTAGGTCAATGTGTTTTGTGGTGTCATGGTCCAGTAGCACGGATCTCATCGGCTCAAATTCACCATCGGCATATATTTCCTTAATTCTGAATCCACGTCTCGTGTACAGTTGATTTACTTTTCGTATGCCGTCCCCGATGGTTGGTATCTGTCGGTTTGGCAAGTGTTGGATGGTTCCAAATCGTATCCCATGTGATATCGTCACCAGGAAAGGTATCTCGTTGACGAACATGATGTCCAGCGCCAATGTCACATTCCTGTGCCGATCCATTATCTCTGGCGGAATTGGAGTGACGACGCCAGCTTGTACACCTGCTGGGTGCCTAACTGTCTTCCCCTTGAGGGATCCGAGGTTGGTGCCGAATATGTCTTCTGCCGCCATCACGTCCATGCGACTCACTGGGCAGTTCGGCAGGAGGTTATTGTCTATTATCTTCAGGTAGTCACGGAGCGATGGACGTCCTATCATGTTTTGGATCTTACGTGCTAGTTCAGCTTTCCGGTAGGCATTAACAGAGTAGTTAGAACATTTATTCGCTATAGTGTTGATCAAGGCGACTGCCGTCTCGTCACTCCTGTCTTTTCCATGGGTTGTTGTCGAGGGCACTGCCTCTGAGTAGAACAGACCGCTCTTTGCACGGACGAACACTCTGTCACCGGACTCCTTGTGTACGGTGAACGTGCCTTTCAGGTACGTGATGGGAAAGTGCTCCTCCACCCTCGAAAACGAGAGGATGTTGGCAACGCCTTCCTCCAGGAACCAGACAGGTTCGGGGAAGCCTGGTAGGTCCCCGATCAAGTTTGTTGTTGTTAATCCGGCATTGCATTGTACCACCATGCTTTGGTTGCTTCGACGGATGTTCCTCAACAGCTTTCTATTGCAAAAAATATTCACGGTGCTTTGGTTGTCGAGTAGGATCCAGTGCTTCGGAATCCTCGTCTGCTTCGCGTTGATAAGCACGACATCCACGTGGAATGAATACGAAAAGTCGGATAACTCCCCATCATCGTATGCATCCATGAGTAGGGCGACTCCATTTGCGTCTGTTGCTTCACCACTGTCTGGGCATTTGTTCGCGTAATGACCGTGTCGGTGGCATCTGTTGCATTCAATGTGTGCGTACGTGCGGCCGTTTGTGCCGGGAACTGTCTCTTCCCCGTCTGTCGCGAATGCCACCTGCGTCGCCACGCCTGTTGTTCCGCTGTTTTGCGTTCTTGGCTTGACGTTGACGCGGTATCCGTCAAGCCTTGCGTATGCGTCAGCGAGGTTCTTTGGGTAATTGTTGTCTCCCCGAGTGAATTCGTTCTCGAGGTCAATCTTGAGGTCGGAAAATCTTCCGTCGTCTGCGTTGGACAGGAACATGGATGACAGCGTTTCTTCTCGTACTTGTTCCATTGCTTTTGCGAGCTCTGCCGATGTTGCGTCTTCATTGACGTGTTTGCGGGAAGAGCTACCTGCACGAGGCTCGTCTCATACCCGAAGCATCCGCCGTTGTGCTCTGTTGCTTCAATCTTCTGTTTGAATAGCCTGTAGTACTCTTCCACGGACTTGTCTCCCTGGCGGAAGGTCATCGCCCTCCTTTTGCTTTCCAGTATGGCTAGGGGCTGATACTTCCGTGTCTGAAATTGTAGCATTACGCTTCTGATCGCCTGTAGCAGTCCAATCACGTTGGCTGACTTGTTCAGTGCTGGTAGGTCCGCACTGGCTTGTACCTTGGCTCGCAGTGTCTCACTACACTGTCCCCAGATCAATGAGAATGCATTCTGCCTGTTTTCCTTGAGTTTGTCGGCTCCTTTGACATACGCGGCCACTTCTTGCTTGAAGATGGCGAGGTCCACCTCATCCGTTGATGCTGTAGTGCCGTCTGCCTCCATGGGCAGCTTTGGTCTATCTAGGTCTTGTGATGTTAGGGATTCGATTTCGAGCTTTGTGTAGTTACCTTTCGTATAGGTCCTTCCTACAAGCTCTGCAATCTCCATCGTGGTGTCATAGAATGCTGCAGCTGTGGCGGTTGGTGTAGTTAGGTCATAGATATACCCTTCTAGTGTTGGGGACTTCCCCGTGAATTTCCTAGGTGCTGGGGTTTGGTTTGGTTGCCTCCTGCCACCAAATTGACCTCCTCTGCCACCTCTGCTACCTCTGCCCCCACCGCGTCCTGCGGATGAAGGATTGGTAATGCCTGACATGGCGTCGGTCCCACCTCCGGTGCTGCTTCCAGCTCCGGCTCCGGTGGTGCCAGTCGCTCCAGCGGAGCTTCCAGACCCTGTGGCGCTCATTGCGACCACCTTTCTATTACTCGATACTCAGTAATTTTCTTTTAATGTTGGGATGACCTTGCATTCCTAGAACCCTAGTGTCATTGAGACAACTAGTCTCCCGTTGCTAGTTCTACTAGTAGAAGGCAAAGCTTCAATCAATTCAGCTAGATTAAAAGAAAATTATGGGCCATTTTCATCATGGTCATCCTCACCAATGATCTAGTCCCTAGTCATCAATCTTGTCTGTGATTCCACAGACTGGCTCATTCCCAACAAGTACCGTAGGTTACTTATGCCGTTGGTGTAGTGGCTGCATGACACCGCTCCGGATAATGGACCCTTCAACAGGGGCTTGATACTGGTGCTGTTGACCTCGCGGTCCGAAATTCTCTTTAGTCTGTCATGCTGGCTTATACCACCACGGTGCCGTACCATTTATTTGAGAACCATGCATGAACGATGACCATGATGGCATAGGCAGTCGAGATGTCGAGATGTTATTACCTGGTACCACGTCGCCATTCGCCTTTCACTAGTCAATAATGCACGGCGTCCACACTTAGAATTTTACTCATGCAAGAGATAGAACCTCTGTTCCCCTCTGCATCGGTGCTCTGGTCTTCTATTAGCTACCGGTATAAGCTCTGCTGACAAAAGTGAAAAAGAGATCAGCCAAAATGAACAATAATGATGACAAGATGATACCCAAGCCCTTAGACAACTACTGCGAAACCCATCAAGTGGTGATTGATTCGAATACCGAGACCGAGGACCTTGCGCCGAAGAAAGGAAGCAGTGACGAAACTGAGGTTGAAGAATTGGAGCAAGAAATGGATGTCTCTGGTCCAATGCCGCTACCTGAGCCGTCCAGTTCCACCAAAATGAACGATAATGATGACAAGATGATACCCAAGCCCTTAGACAACTACTGCGAAACCCACCAAGTGATGATTGATTCGAATGCCGAGACCGAGGACCTTGCGCCAATGGAAATCTCTGGCCCATTGCCGCTACCTGATCCGTCCAGTTCCACCCAACCCACGGCACGAAGGCGCCGTCCACCTCCCAGTCACATTAGCACCAAAAGCCGCATCAGTGAAGCTCCAGTGGACCCTGAGAATCTGCCTGGCGCTTTCCCAGAAGTCCCTGGTTGGAGGCAACAGCAGTCTTCCTTTACCGATAGCGGAGAACTCGGATTTTGCAGCTCCCATTTCGGCAATCGAAATCTGTATACAAGCACCACCCTTCAACTTGCAGAGGAAGGGCGTGTGATCGACGAGATGGACGAATCCACAAGCAGTAGCAACCGAGACGGTTTGGTCGAAGCCATTCCGGTCTCATTGCCAACCGAAAAAGCAGAACCCGTCAGTTTGGAAGATACAAAGCAAAAGAAACAGCAACGCGACAAAACGACACGCTTTCGTCAGCTTTGCTTCTTGGCTGGAGGATTGACTGTGCTTGCAGCAGCTGGGCTCATTGCAATCCTCGCTGCATCAAAGAGTTCGTCACACAACAACATCCAAACCCCCGCTGAAGGCGGAGCATCGAATACTACCAACAGCACTGAAACAATCAACTCTCCTTCGGTTCAATTGATCTTGCCAATAACCCTGCCAGAGAGTACCACCAACACCATATCACAAGACGTGACAATCAGCACACCCCAGGGTCAGGCATACCAATGGCTAGTCCAGGATCCCAACGTAGAACAATACACAGAATATCAATTGCTCGAGCGCTTTGCCGCTGCCACGTTTTATTTTGCAACCAACGGATCCGAATGGACGTTTCAAGGGGGAGGCCAAGTGACGATCGTCGTAGATGAGGACCCCAACATGATGCACCAAGGGCAGCGGCCACCAGATTCCAACGCGTCACTTCCGCCGCCACCACCTCCTGGTGAAGGAGGTCAGCATAAGCAACAAAAAGTAAACATTACGTCCGAGAAATGGTTGAGCTATAACAGCTCTGTTTGTGATTGGTATTCCACTGCATCTGCCAGGGGTAAACAAGCCTGTGGCCCAAGTGGAGTCCTGAAAGAGCTTCACTTGCTTGAAAACAACCTCAAGACTACCGTTATTCCTGCAGAAATCGGATTGTTGACAAGACTCCAAGGACTGGTGCTGGGTTTGAATCGCATAGAGGGCACCTTCCCTTCGCAAGTTGGAGAACTGACAAGTCTCACATCGTTTCGATTGGTCAGCAATTTATTCACTGGACAAATTCCATCTGAAATGGGGTTGCTTTCCCTCCTTGGCGACATTGGGATTCAGGACAATATGTTTTCGGGGACAGTGCCGCAGGAGATTTGGAACATGTCGAATTTGCGAGTGCTCAAGGCAGCCCGAAACAGCTTTTCGGGGACTCTTCCGATTGATCTTGGACATGGACTGGCAAATCTGGAATTGCTCATGCTGGACCAAAATCGCTTCACTGGAGAGCTCCCAGCAATTCTTCCGCCCAATCTGAACTTTTTAGATGTCAGCTTCAACCCCCTGCATGGCCAACTGCCGTCTGAACTGGGGACGTTGCAACGTTTGGCCAAATTGAGGGCGGAAGACACGGATCTCTCGGGCGTGATTCCCTCTGAGCTTGGGATATTACCAAGGTTGATCGAAATTGAATTGCGAGGTAACCAAGGCATTGGGGGGTCCCTGCCCAGTGAGCTCGCTCAGTTGAACAGCACATTGGTACAGCTGAACATTGAGAAGACGGCAATAACTGGAACAATTCCCTCGGCACTGTGCAATATTCAGTTTCTGCAGTTTGACTGTTCCGAGACACTGTGTGGATGTGACTGTCCTTGCATGCCCAGCTAGACCATATCATACCGAAAAATTAGCAACGTGACAACCTCCGTTGAGACCAAACCGGGCAGACACGCAGATAGTTGGCCAGATGGTGGTATATTGTAGAATGATCAATCGTAGTGCGTGGTTGGATAATGGGGTTTAGAATAGAGAGGTTATCTATCTACGGCCAGGCTTATCGTTGTGCGTTGATGACACAGGGACTTCAAGTTTCATGTTCGCCTTCTCAAAAAGAATCTTCTTAAGCTAATGCATCTATTGGCTTTTGGCCCAGTCGGGCATGTTTTCCTTCTTTGCCAACCATGCAGCCTCTTCGGGTGTTGTTTTCCTCCCAAGAACTGCATTGCGGTACGGGTATCTCCCAAAAGCCTCCAGTACTACTCGGTGTTCTCGAGCCACCTTTTGCTCTCCTTCAAAATACACATGTAAATGGGGCTGCGTCGTCTCAATGGCCAGTTGAAACAATTCATCACACAAATCGTGGTCCTCGATAACTTCCGAGTGCATCAGTGCCACAAGTATAAAGGCCAAATATGGCGGATAGACCTCACCGTGGTCCAACCCATCCACGCTGGGTCCCAAAGTCGGCATCTCTGGGATTGTCGGAGCCGACGATACCAAGGCAATGGCGAGTTCCCGAGATATATCTTTGGCAATGGCTTCGTACGCATACGCTTCTTTGGTTCCACGCCAAATGTTGCGTGCGAGCTGATCACACAGAATCATTTGCGCAATTTTCCCATCCACAGTGTCATTCCAAGTAGTGGATCCCTTCAGGGCCTTTGTCCCTGCTTTATGAACGAGATCTGAGAACTTGGAACATAGTTGATCATAACAACTGGAGTTTCTTGCCTGGAACCAAAACTTTGGCATTGTTTTGAGGCAATCACCGGAGCGCATTTTGTCTTTGGTGGTTTTCCCGTGAATAAAATCCTCTCCCTACGGTATGAATGAACAGATGAACAAGGCAAATACACCAAGAGCAAGGAGCGATGAGATCAAGAACATTTACACTACATGTAGTAAAGAAAGGGCTTACGAAAAAGAACGACAGGACGTGTTTGGGCTCGGTTGGTTTTTTCAAAGATTCCTGAATGAAGGCTTGAGAGGCAAATGCCTGCACTTCGGCATCGGTCAACTCTTGGCTTGCCCTTGGAGGGCGGTTTATCATTACGTTTTTTACTCCGGAAGATGTCGCCATTGTCGGTTGCAGTGTACGACTGTAGTGTATTTCTTGAGAAAGATACGGTAGGTTCGGTGCAGTGTTGGGTCTCTTGAAAAATAAATGAGAGACTTTCCTTTTGTTGGAGGTAAATTTTCGCGGAAGTGTCCTTGGGAACTTCGAAGATTCGATTGAATAAACCGACAAGACTGTGATTTCATTCGTTTCCTCAGCTTCAAGTGCGAGTGTTGGCCAGAAAAGAGGTGCGCCATAGCTTTTTGATTGGCCGTTTGCGGTTGACATTCGTTTTCTTCGATGTTCCGTATTGCCACCCGATGATCGTCGCCTTTTGTTGACACCATCATCACATCAACAATTGCACAATCAGTGCTACCGAGTTGAAGCTACCTTCCGTGACTGCTGCAACCGCAACACTCACCTCATTCGTACCGGTACTTGCTTGCGGATCGACCTTTCATTCCTACCTTTGCTTATGCAACACTAACTGTGATCGCTGCTCCTGCTAATGCCAGTAGTTTTGCGGTAGCAATCAGTTTTTGAGATTTCGAGAAACCGCCATGAGCTCCGGCGGAAGCAAGAGAGCTGCGGATGATGGACCTTGGAAGACCGTGGCCTTGTCGTTTGCAGCGGGAGCTGCCTCCATGTCGTTGTTTGTGTATGCTCGTGACCGACGAAGACGGCGACGGAGGAATGATAATGATGATGATAATGAGGGTAGCAAGATGAACTTTTCTCAATTACCTCCCAAGCCATCTTCCAATTTCATTGATACCGTCTGCCAGAGTGTGGAGGATGCTGTGGAGGATATCAAGTCTCGAATAGGAGAAATGCCCGGTCGACGGACTCACTGGCCGTGGGAAACAATACGCAAACCCAAAAAAGCGAGCAGCAAGGAACCACCCGACGAACCTGATCCCTCCATGAAACTGACCTATGGGATCACGGATCGAGGAAAACAAGAGAGTAATCCAGAACTCTGCATTGGTTCCATTTTTGGTCTGGATGTTGGAGGGACTCTGGCCAAGTTGGTCTATTTCGAACAGCGGCCTGATCAAGACACTATGGCGACGGATAGCACTAATTTTTGTGGAGGGGGTGGTAGCACTCGTGCCAAGCATTATCACATGGCAGCATCGGCCCAGGCTGTCTTGATGGCTCGAAGAGGTCACGATGATACCTCGCCACCATCGCTACAGACCCATGAATCCATTGGAGGACATGAACGAATGCAACCGCGGAATCTGTCCATGGGATTACTAAGACGAAAATTGAGCAGTCATTCCGAACTCAATCAGCAAGCTTACGACGATAATACACATGATGACACTGCTGCTGAGAATCCACACGACAATACATCCGCAAAAAAACCAATTCATACAGTCGCTTCCAATGATGACATTCATAACTTGTACAATCTAAGACCAGAATCCGTCCCTGATGACTTGAATGCATACGCCACTTCTGTACACTACAATGAAATACACAAGAGAAAAAGCAACAGTGGCAAGAATAGCCCCAAACGAAACAGCAAACATACCCGGTCCAATTCAGATGGAACCAATTCGACCGATGCCAGCTTTGTCATTGCTCACGACCACACTAACCACAACAACAACAACAATACCACCACTACTCCATCCATGAAAAAGTCACGATCCATGTTTGATTTGTCCATGTCCCAAAAATCACGAGATCACGCCGAAGCACTGGACCGATTCTACCATTTTGCCCGCAAACTCGACACGTACCGAGAAGGTGTCAAGGACCACAAACTCAGCTTTTACTCACGGGCACTGGGAGGAGAATTCCACTTTATCCGGTTTGAAACACGACGCATGGAAAATGCCATGGAACTCATTCGCGCCAATGATTTGCACTTGACCATTCGAGAAATGGGAGCCACCGGTGGAGGCGCTCACAAGTACGCCAATGATTGGGATCGCATCCTGGGCATTCAAATGCAAAAACAAGAAGAGTTGGAAAGCATGGTGGCAGGAATGCAATTTGTCTTGAGTACCGTGGTGGGAGAATGTTATACGTTTCGACCGCGAAAACCCAAATCGGAGCGACCGTCATCGGAGCGAACCACCTCGTCCGCCGGGAGCAGCAACAACAGCATGGAAGAAGAGGAAAAGAAATCGCTCAGTCCCTTCTCGTCGGATGAATCCGACAGCGAATCGGGAGAAGAACCTCGCGACTATGTGAAAACGGATATGTGGAATTGGTCTCGCAAGGTACAACGAGACTCCATTTCGTATTCGTCCACGTATCCTTACCTCTTGGTAACCATTGGGACGGGAGTCAGCATCCTACGAGTCGATGGTCCTCGAAAGCACGAACGTATCTCAGGTTCCACCATTGGAGGAGGAACGTACTGGGGATTGATTCGACTCTTGACCAACATTGAAGAGTTTGAAGATTGTATGCAGTTGGCGGAGCACGGGGATCCCACCAAAGTTGACATGATGGTGGGAGATATCTATGGCAATAACCCCGAGGCGCTGGAAAAGCTGGGACTGCCGGCAGGCTTGGTGGCGTCGTCTTTTGGCAAATTGGTGGCCAAGGAAGATCCAGCCGCGGGCTTGACACAGGAGGACTTGGCTCGAGCGTTGCTGCTGATGGTTACGAACAACATTGGTCAGGTGGCCTATTTGAATGCTCAGCTGAACAAAACCTCCCGCATTTACTTTGTGGGCAATTTCTTACGTGGCAATAAACTTTCACAGCGGCGCTTGTCCTTTGCCATCAACTACTGGTCCAAGGGGGAGATGGAAGCCCTCTTCCTGGAGCATGAAGGGTACTTTGGTGCCTTGGGGGCCTTTCTGTTGAGTCAAGGTATCAATCCAGACGACCTTGGACCGCCACGGAGACAAAGCACCGTATCGCAGAGCCACAGTTTTCACCATCGACGAAGTCAAACTCTGGAAGATCCAATCTAACTGCCTGTCTGGGATTGTGGCGCACTGAAACTTTCCACACGGCTGCGAATGCATTAGTATCATTTCACCCTAAGTTCATGGATCTGCGGAAACCCGTACGCTGTTGCGTCCAGTCAGATATCGTTGAGCTTAGCCTTGCGCTGTAGAAATGCAATATAGCTAATAATGTTACAGTAGTGTTTCCTTCCCTCACGAACGTCAAGCGTCTTGTGCACCCTGCCAATGTTGCCCACCGTCCTCAGACGCATCTTCTTGCTAGGAATGCAATATCTTAATAATGTTACAGTAGTGTTTCCTCCCCTCACGAACGTCAAGCGTCTTGTGCACCCTGCCAATTTTGCCCACCGTCCTCACACGCACCATCTTGGTAGGAATCGTCGCTCAAATCGGATTCAATGATAGATGGCTGGTTCGGCTCGGAATCAAACGATTGACCACCTCTGTAGCGGTTGAAAGCTCTTTCCTCTTTCATATCGGAATCGACAGACTGGTAGCGAACAGTGCTTTTATAGTAGTTCCAGCCCTTCATCGACAGCAGCCCTGCACTCTCGTCTGAGGAATCCCCATCGGTATCTTTTGTGGATACGCTCGGCATGACAACCTTGATCCACCTGGGCTGGTCTCGTTCTCGCTCTTCTTGGTATTCACTCATTTTGTCTACGAATGACATGAGCCAAGAATACACCACGAACGACACTGTCAAGAACAGGATCGATTCCAAGAAAACCACCCATCCACTTTGACCACGATCACTCTGATGTACGCGTAGGTCGTTCAAGTTTGCTGGACATTGGAATGACGATGAGCTGCCACTTGCAGGGCACTTCAAATTTCTCACTCTATCCGACCTCCACTTGAAAGAACTGATGGGTGGGAACTGGGACGGGCAAGTCGTCCTGCTTTGCCTAGTCTCGGGGATGGAAAAGTTGCGAATGTTTGTGGGGTCCAAGACCGTGGAATTGCGATAGGCGGCTTGGAGGTAGTCAAAAGAAGGTTCTGGGTTGTACTGGCACGGTATGTCTACATCGTCGCAATCCTCGGGCGAGAGGTAACCTACGGAACAAATAAATCTCAACGTCAGCAAGCAGAAAACAACCGCACCTCTTTCTTTTGTGTGCACTAAGTTTCTCCACTTACCAATGCCATAGTTTTGGGCCCCCCATTGGGCGAAGGGGTACGGCGAATCGCCAATAGCATTCTGCATTTCAATCGAGTACTCAAAGGCAAAGCCACCCGCAAACTGATCTCGGAGTTCTTTCTCTTCCAGCAGCCATCGGGCTTGGTCGACTGTTCGCTGTCCTTTGTAGATTTGCCCGTCGGTACCACTCACATTGGGAAAACTGTAGGATCCAAAAGGACAAAACAAAAAGGGGTTTTGAGCATAATTTCATTCCAAGCCAAGAAACGGCAAATTCCTTTTGTCATGTTGCTACCGGTACTTACGACTTGGAGATACAGCCGAACTCGGTGAGCATGGCAGGTATCGAGTAGTGATAGGA